CCCCGTATCCCTCAGTGCCACCTCCTCCACCCCCGTATCCCTCAGTGCCACCTCCTCCACCCCCGTATCCCTCAGTGCCACCTCCTCCACCCCCGTATCCCTCAGTGGCACCATCACCCCTCTCCCCAAACCCCACCATCTGCAAGTCCACCTGTAGCCCGGGGATGTGAGGAAAGTTTCTGCCTCATTTCCACACTCCTCCCTCCCACAGAACAACTCCTGCACCAATCTCAGGCCTCACCACAGGCTTGGTGTTGCTGCTCATGTTCTTCAGCGAGTCCAGTTCCTCGGTCATCTTGGTGGCCAGCGACTGCAGGTAACCCCGAGCTTCCTTCTCTTCGCTCACCCTGTCAACAGGGAGCAGTGGGACAGGACGTTAGCTCTGCATTCCCGATGGGGGCATACACAAATGCAACAGAGGTGGGCTCAAGTCCAAACCAGAGGGACTCAGTGTCCCTCGCTCCCCATCATGCTGCTCCCCATCCCTTACCATTGGATGATCTCCACGATCTGGGTGTCCCACTGTTTCACTGTCTCCTTCCTGGCTTCCAGCGCATGGAGTGCCTCCTCCAGATGCATGTTGGTGGCCTGTAGCTTCTCCACCTTCTCCATGAGCTACAGGGGTGGGGGGAGGGGTTTCAGAGATCACAAGTCAGATCCGAATGAATCTCGTTTATCCCCACCCTCCCTCAGGTCCTCAAGGCTAAAATCCGCCCAAGGTCGCAGGTTTGAATCTGAGCCCCCCCACCCCGGCACAGAGAGAAACATAATCCAGGCTGGCGTGGAGCGAGCGCTGGACTGTCATGGGGACGTTTTTGAAACCACACAATGACGTCCTTCCAAACTTCTGTACAGTGGTCAAATCTCCAGTGGCCACTATTGGAAGACTGTCCCTGGATGAATTTTAATCCCTCAAGCAGGAAAGGGTTTAAGGGCGGTGAGGTGACTCAGTGGTTAGTGCCGCTGCCTCACAGCACCAGGGACCCGGGTTCGATTCCCACCCTCCAGTGACTGTCTGTGTGGAGTTTGCACATTCTCCCCGTGTCTGCGTGGCTTTCCTCCTACAGTCCAAAAATGTGCAGGTGAGGGTTGACTGGCCATGCTAAATAGTGTCCAGGGAATATGCGGGTTAGCCATGGGAAATGATGGGTTACAGGGATAGGGTAAAGGTGGGGGGGTGGGGTGCGGGTGTGGGTGGGATGTTCTTTAGAGGGTCAGTGTGGACTTGATGGGCCGAATGGCCCTGCTCCCACACTGTAGGGATTCTGTGGTGAAATTACCGCGTCATTATCACATTGCAGCGTGAGCTTTTTTCTTCGAAGAGAGTCATTTGTGAGGTGTGGAGGTCACTGACAAGGTCAGCATTTGTTACCCACGAACTAGGCCATTTCAGAGCGCTGTTAATGATTTAACCGCACTGATCCAGGCTGGCTAAGGACAGCAGGTCTCCTTCCCTGGAGAGGAAGTCGCCCAGTTAAAAGAAGGATATTACTGAGCTGGCGGGGGCTCGGAAGAGATTTACCAGGATGTTGCCGGGTATGGAAAGTTTGAGTTGTAAAGGCTGGGTAGGCTGGAGCATTTCTCACTGGAGCATAGGAGGTTGAGGGGCGACCTTATAGAGGTTTATAAAATCGTGAGGGGCATAGATAGAGTTAATGATAGCTGTCTTTTCCCCTAGGATGGGGGAATTTCAAGACTAGGGGGCACATTTTTAAGGTGGGAGGAGACGGATTTAAAAAAAGATTCGAAGGGCTAAAGTTTTACACAGAGGGTGGTTATGTGTGGAATGTACTTCCAGACGAAGTGGTGGATGTGGGTATAGCTACAACGTTTAAAGGACATTTGGATAAAGACATGAATAGGAAAGGTTTGGAGGGATATGGGCCAGGAACAGGCAGGTGGGACTGGTTTAGGTCGGGATTATGGTCGGCATGGACTGGTTGGGCCAAAGGGCCTGTCTCTGTGCTATATGACTCTACGTTGCTATGGCTTTGAGAGGTATTTTGTCCCGGTGGGTTTTTTTTTGGGAGAGGTCATAAGGCAGAGCAGTCTACCAAAGCCCCTGCAGTAAAGTGAGGCCTTGTGTTTTTTTTATATATATAAAAGTTGGAACAACTGAAGCAGCCTGGCTGGGTGTGGCTGGCTCTCGCAGACCAGGATTTCCAGTTTTGTTTTAGTTTTCAGGTCTAGCTTTCAGCGATTGTTGTTGTAGACCTGAATCTATTTCTCCCCCATCTCTCGAATACAGCCAAAAGCTTGGTGGGGGATGGGGGGTTGTTTTCTTCCTTGGCTGTTGGATTGCATGGGAGTCAAATTCTGTTTTTCTGAATTTGCCTTTTTGCCAAGGATGTGTTTATGAGATGTTACTATACTGGAACAGTTAATTAGTAATAGATACTGTGTCTATTATTCAGTTAAATTTTCCAATTGAGTTGTTATTCTATTCTAAATTTCCCTTTCTTTGGTTTGTATTTTAACTATAGTGTTTAAATAAATTGTGTTTTGCTTAATGTCGAGCAGTTTGAACAGTCACATTGCATCTGGATCACAGCATCTCATATTTGCCTTAAAAATGAGAAAAAGTTAGGGTCTAGGCTAACTTCTTGAAATATTTTGGTCTGGTCTGGTTCATAACACACACCACGATTTGATTTGCATTCATTTCCTAATTATTCGATCGCATTTATAGAACAAAGAACAATACAGCACAGAAACAGGCCCTTCGGCCCACAATGTTGTGCTGAACACGATGCCAAATTAAACTAATCCCTTCTGTCTGCCCTTGGTCCATATCCCTCCATTCCTTGCATATTGATGTGTTTATCTAAAAGTCCCTTAAATGCCCCTATTGTATCTGTCTTCACGACTACCCCTGGCAGCGCGTTCTGGACTCCTATCACTCTCTGTATAAAAAACATGCCCCTCACATCTCCTTTGAACTTTCCCCCTCTCACCTTAAATGCTTGCCCCTTAGCGTTAGACATTTCAACTCTTGGGGAAAAAAAAGATTCCGACTGTCAACCCGATCTCATTATTATGTAGGTTGCTTTCAAGTCTTCCCTGAGCCGCTCTAGACAAAACAACCCAAGTTTCTCTAGCCTCCAGAATTTATTCATTAGATTCAAATCCTATGAGCTGCAGTGGGATTTGAACCTGTGTCCCCAGCATATTAATCTGAATTTCTAGTCCAGAGACTTTACCATTACACCATTGCCTCCTTGCTGGATTGTCCATGTTACAACTTTCAAATCATAAGCTCAACACAGATTCCTGGAGGAATCTCCATCTGTATCCCTGTTGTCCAATCATTACACCCTTCTTCCCCTCCCCTACTCTCGGGCCATCAGACAGGTTTCAACGAAGCTCCATCGTGGCACCTTATCAAATATCTCTGAAAATCCAAACACTCAAAATTGCTGGCTTTATTACACTGCGGCCTTCAGTTACAACCCCAAGGTTTCTCAGTGTCAATTCCCCACCTTCTGACAAAATTGTGAGGCTATTGCCTCCCCCTGTGTGGGTAGATAGGCTACACCAGGCCCAACCCACCATCCAGGCCCTCTCGGGGAAGGAACAAGGCTCTGACCCTTACCGGCTCCAGCTCCACACTCAGCTTCAGGTTCTCTTCCCTCAGCTGGCTCTTCTCCTGCTCGTGGGCCACCCGCATTTCCATCAGGAGTTCCTCCTGCTCCGACTGCCTGCAAGAGGTCCAGGCCGGAAGCAAAAGGTTACTGAGCCATGTGCTGCCGCGGGTTCCTCAGTCCTGGTTTGGAACTCCAGGCACGACGTCCGCCAACGCAAAATCCCGCCTACGTGACCCTCAGCCTTCCCATATCCAGGAGGTGGATCCCCAAATTCCAGCAGACATGACTCTCTCTCTCTCTCTCTCTCTCTCCTTCCCCAACACTTACCTACCAGTTTCCCCATAACCCACCATACATTCCTGAATCCTATGGGTACGACATCCCTGCGACCCACAACAGTCCAGTAGGTACAAGACCCTGTCCCCCAACCCAACCTAACAGGCGCTTATATCCATCACCCCAAAAACCCAATGGGTTCTTGTTCCCCACCACCCCAAAACCCAACGGACTCTTGTTCACAACCCTAAAACCCAAAGGACTGTTGATCCCCACCCCAATGTCCAGCTAGTATGCAAATACTATTTCTAAAATCCCAGCAGGCACGCGGTCCCCTTTCCGAAATCCCAGCAGGCATGCATTCCCCTTTTCGAAATCCCAGCAGGCACCACCCCTGCCCAGCAGCCGTGTGCTGGCCTCACCGCTCACTGCGTGCTTTCTCCAGCCGCTCTCTGCTAGCCACCAGCTCCCTCTCCAGCTGTTGCTGCCGACTCTCCGATTCCGCCAGCTGCTCGCGAACTGCCTTCAACTCAGCTGCGTGGGCACTCTGCCACCGTGCCAACTCCTCCTCGCGGGCCAGCACCTTCCGTTCCATCTCCACCTTCGCCAACTCCTCCTCTGCCACCAACTCCCGCTTGGGGTCAGGACATTGCCTGCTGGGATCACCCCCGGTCTGTGCCAGCTGCGGGGGAGCGCGCGTGCAAGACAGAGAGACGGAGGGAGCGCGCGCGAGAGACAGAGAGACGGAGG